CTCTTCTTCACTCATTTTGACCATTTTCTTCTTTCTTTCTTTCTTGAAATTTTAAGTCTGGAGGGAAACATTTTATTGTCTTATGGTCATATGATTAGTTTCAAATACACTTCTCTTTCCCTTTTGGATTTTTCTTACATTCATATTTTATTTCTAATAATAATTCTTAATCTTCAACTTTATGATATGACTGTATTTCCTTTGAAAATGGCTGCTCTAAGTTTTTATCTGCTAATTCAAATATAAATCACTTTGGGCCTGGCTTCTATTGACTGCTTTTCTCTAGACTAGATCACTGGGGCTTTTTCTTAATATCTTTGCATATCTGATGTTTCTTTTTATCATTTTTCAGACATTAAGAATGACATAATACAGATTCTGAATTCTGTTATCTTCTGAAAGATTTGCATTTTGTTCTAGTAAGCAGTTACCCTGATTAGATTCATAATTTTACACTCTGTCTCTCTGCAGCTTGTAACAGCCAAAATCTTTGCTCGGTTCCCTTGGCCATTCAGCAGCCACCTTGTCATTCTCTGTGTGGTCTGTACTGTTAATGTGCATTTCAAGAGTCAACCAAGGATGCTAGTGGAGTTTACTGTGGCAGCCCTCCTTCCGTTGTTGCATTTTCTCATTCCTCAAGTAGATACAGGTGGTGCTTTGTGCTTAAGCCTCAGATTCCAGCACTACCAGGATAGAGAATGGCCACCAGTTGAAAAGCTACACAAGGGCAAGTCTCACCCAATGCTATATTGAGTTCTAATAGGAGGATTTACTCCTCTTATCATTTCCACTATGTTCATTACTTTCACAAGCCTTCAAATCATTATAGTTTGTTTCAAGGGCTAATAATTATTTCCTACAGGCAAATTATCTAGTAAACAATATTTTTCATTTTTGGGTAATGGAACGTTCTCTGATACATGTTGTAATTGTCGAATTATACTCCTAAACAGGAGAGTGCAGTTTTATAAACAGAGAAAGTCCAAAGAAAGAAGAAACAAAAGGTCAGAAACTAGATTGGTTATTTCAGAATTACTCTCCTTATAAGGAGGTGAACAAGGGGACAGAACAACAGGAAAATACCTGGTTAGGTAATATCAGGTTGCTTCTTTTGTGTACGAACTAAAGCAGTGTGAACTTCATGCCAATTGATACTGGCCTATTGGAGAAATTTGACTGTTATCTCTCCAAAACTATTTCTTGGAAAGTTAAGAGTTTCAGGGTAGTGATGTGGAGCTCTAGTGTGAGTGACTCAATTTTAGTATAGGAGCTAAGCCCCAAACAATGACCTCCTGCAGTTTTCTTTGGTACATGCATCCTCTCCATTTACTACTACAAAGTAATTACTATTATGCTCTATTGTGTAAACAAGGGAGCTATACAGAACCAATCTTTAGAGTGGTAATTTATCAAGGTCACACAACTAAGAAGTTTGGGATCAAAACTTGATACTACATCTCTTAGTCTCTTAAACACAAAAGCTGTTTATTGCCAGAATAGTCAAGAAATATTTTAATATAATAATAACTTTTAAATATGGGAGCATATTTCTATACTGAAAGAGCTTATAGAGAGCAGATATTTAATATTATATAATGCAGTGTGATTACTGCTGGAGCAGATCCTAGATGTGGCAAGAAAAAAATGAAGTTTATTGTTAAAGGAAAGTCTAAGGTTGAACAGATAGAAACTGTTGTCCCTAAGATTGAAGGGAAGAACATAGAAATTAGTTTGGCTATTAAGAAAAAAGAAAATAAGAAAAGAAAGAAAGTGAGCTTATTTAAGGAAGGGCACAGGATGCAAAGAGGGAGTGAATTTGAATTGCCTTGATAAAGGACTCTGTGAAGGTAGACTGAGAGTCCTTTAAGTGGTCATTGGATAAAGTTTTGGGGAAAGTGGCAAAGGTTTGAAATGTCCCCCAGAGTAAACGGTAGAGGAAACTAAACAGGTAGAATGACTGATGGCCAAAAGAATTATGGTTGCTTTTATAGTTTTCTATATATCACAGATAAGTAGAATTACTTTCCAATTTGAACTCTGTCTTCAATTTGATTCTAAAATATAAGATACCAGGCACATGCCTATAATTCTAGCAACTCAGGTGGTCAAGGCAGAGGATCACAAGTTTCGAGGTCAGCCTCAGAAACTTAACAAGACCCTGTCTCAAAATAAAAATTTACAAATGAGATCATGGCCTGGGGATATAGCTCAGGAATAGAGAGCTTGCCTAGCTTGTATGAGTCCCTGGGTTCAATTTCCAGGACTTCAGAAAAAAAAAAAATGAAGTATGATGATCCATAGTGAAGAAATACCATTGGCAAAGTATGTGATATAGTGAGAAACACTTGAAGCAAGTAGAGTGGTGAGGGATCACTCTGGTTCTAACATTAACTAGCTAGATGGCATTAGGGAAATCACTAACTTGGCCTCTAGTTAGTTGTTTTGTTAAATAAGCATAGCTCTTAAGATTCAACAACATATATATATTTTTTCACCTTCAGAGACAAATTTTTATATTTCAAAAATAAGCATAAGATTGACCTGGTTTGTGCTTTTTCTTACATTGCCATAAGACTTTTTTGGTTGAGATCAACATAAATTATTGTTGTTATTATTCTTTAATCATCAAATTTTTGATGTACCTCTATGAATAAAATATGTATGTAAATATGTTATGTGACTGCACTAACTGATTCCCAGGTTCTACCTTATCTACTTATAAAGTCACCCCAGAATTTTATGCAGTAGAATAAACTGAATGTGTCATCATTCCTGAGAAATTATCTATATTTCTAATAATCTGTATGATATCTATTTGTCAATGCCATTCAGCAACTGCTTCAAAGCAGGAAGCACCCCAGCACATATAAGTAATATCTCTCACCCCTAGTTTCTCAATGAGACATTTTCCCCTTTTGATCCCAAGACTGACCAAGGGGAATAGAGTAGAGGATTTTCATAGCAAAGTTACATGCTCAGAAACTATGGATCATGGCAGTGTCCCCTTCCTCTGTTATCGATGTTTATAATCTGACTTCAGTAAATACTGACTCTTTAGAGAACACGTTACAGATTCTGCCAGACCCCTGCAATAAAGTGAGGATTGAAATAAAGTCAGTTGTACAACTTCTATATCTATAGAAATCACATTTACACTATCAGAAGTGTGTGATAGCATTGTATCTGAAAAAAATGTATGAAATATAAAAACACTTCACTGCAAATAAATGCTAACAGTAATATGAACTTTTGGAAGAATGGTGCCAATAGCCTAGTTCAGTGCTGAATTGCCACACACCTTCAATTTGTTTATTAAAAAAAAAAAAAAAAAACAAACAGCAGCTAAACAAACAAAAAATCTATCTGTGCAGCAGAGTACAATAAAAAATAAAATGGGGTCTCCCTGCATGTCTAGAGGAAAAAAATTTCTTCCCTCTCTTTAACCAGGTAGATCTACTTTAATGTTTATGAACCATAAAGCCTTTTGTGGACCACCAGTGGAAAGTATTTTAGCCGGGCAGCTGAAGCATGTGGGCCAATATTATTACTACATCTTGCTGGAGATGTGTCTGTCCTTTGTGGTTTGTAACTTCTTGATAGATGTGAGAACCCCATAAGACTGTGTTAGAACATAGCTGTAAGACTGTCCACATGCCCGGAACATCTGATAGTATTTGGACATTCGTTATTTCTGTGGAACTATGTTCTTTCATCTATTCAACAATTTAAGCACTGCTGAATGCCAGCCACTGTTCTAGGTCTTGGGTACACACCAAAGAAGTCACAATCCCTGTTCCCCCAAAGTCACATTCTATGAGTCTAGGTAGGTAATGAATAGGGGTGATAGGTACATTGGGGGACAGGGACTGCTCTTTTCACAAGAGGGAGGAGAAGAGGCCTCACTGTAAAATTGAAAGTTGAGCAAAGGCCTGAAGGAAAGAAAGGAGCCAGGCTTTTGTGCTATTAGTTGCTTTTGTTAGTACTAGAAAACCTCATCTGGAGAGGGAAAGGTGTTTAAAAGCTCCCTAACTTTATCAATTAGAACTAAGGTGTTTCTTTGCTGGAAGCAGAAAGCTTAAGGGTCTGTGGCTTGATGAATGGTTAGCACCTTTTTTGTGAATGAAAAGGCAGATAGAGCCCCATGTGTGGGCAGCCTGATGAGTAGGGAAGGGCTGGAGTTCTGCCCCACACCCTACTGCTCCTGTGTATAGTACACACCCTTAGTGTGGGACTGCCTCAGGCAGATGCATGGTGGGATTCTTAGCGGAGAGGACAACAAGGTCAAAGACCCTGAGGCAGAACCTTGTTCAGGAATCACTAGGGAGGCCTCAGAGGTAGCTAAATAGAGAGCAGGAGTAAGTAAGACACAGGGTCAGACTTTAGGTTTACTCACATTGATTGTAGTGCTGATCAAATGATTCTTTAGCTCTCTATTGTTTTCAAAAACTCAATATATGATTTTATAAGATTTCTGAAATAACCTATCATAAGAATCTCATGTTAAATTACTTAGCTAAGTAATACAATTAATAAATACAGGAGCTTAAAATTTAACTGAAGTTCTCTGTTTTCAGCCTTTTTCACGATCAGTTCAGCCTCAAAGATTGGTTAGTCATTTTAAAGCATTGAACCTTGTTTAATTTTTTTTTTAAAATATCATCAGTTCCTTCACAGAGCTCTGTTTTTAAAAAACAAAACTTTCTGAATTCTGCAATTCAAGGCATCTGATTATTCTTATTTTTCTATAGTTCACTTTAACAGGTTTAAACAATTCTATTGTAACCCTAGATGGTTTTGATAGTCATTTACAGCTGTTTTCTCATTTTAATGGATCTTTAAAAGTGTTGTCTTTTTACGACAGCACATTTTGAAACTGGCATTTTTACTAACACAAACCATTGAATAGTTAGAAAATCAATTAGTATCTCCTAAGATGCTCTTCTGTGATTAAAAAGTCTATCCCATTTATTAATCTGAGTTTCCCTATGAATATCTTCCAGCTCGAAATGGAAAAGCTTCAGCTGCAAGCCCTGGAGCAGGAGCACAAGAAGCTGACTGCCCGCCTTGAGGAGGAGCGGGGTAAGAACAAGCACGTGGTCCTGATGCTCCTGAAGGAGTGCAAGCAGCTCTCAGGCAAAGTCATAGAGGAGGCACAGAAGCTGGAAGAAGCCATGGCTAAACTGGAGGAGGAGAAGAAGAAAATGAACGAATTAGAAGAGGAACTCTCCACTGAGAAACGGAGAAGCACAGAAATGGAAGCTCAGATGGAAAAACAACTCTCTGAGTTTGATACAGAACGGGAACAGCTGCGTGCCAAGCTGAGCCGAGAAGAAGCACACACCACTGACCTCAAAGAGGAGATAGACAAGATGAAGAAGATGATTGAGCAACTGAAAAGGGGAAGTGACAGCAAACCAAGCCTCTCTCTCCCACGAAAGACAAAAGATAGGCGTTTGGTTTCCATATCTGTGGGAACAGAGGGACCTGTGACAAGGTCTGTTGCTTGCCAGACAGACCTAGTGACAGAAAGCACTGACCATGTGAAGAAGTTGCCTTTGACTGTACCTGCGAAGCCCTCCACACCTTCTGCAAATGCAAAAGGGAATGTGTGTACCAGTGCCACAATGGTCAGACCAGGTATTGACAGGCAGGCTTCCCATGGTGACTTGATGGGCTCCTCTCTGCCCACTCTTCCACCTCCAAGTGCAAGCAGAATTGAGGAGAATGGACCCAGCACTGGCTCAACACCTGATCTAACAAGTAGCACACCCTCAGTTCCCAGTAGTGCTGCCCCTCTCACTGCTCAGACACCAGGCACAGCTCCTCAGAATTCCTCGCAGACTCCACCTATGCACAGTTTACATTCACCATGTGCCAATGCATCTTTGCATCCAGGTCTAAACCCAAGAATCCAAGCAGCTAGATTTAGATTTCAGGGTAATGCTAATGACCCAGATCAAAATGGAAATACTACCCAAAGTCCTCCATCAAGAGATGTCTCTCCTACAAGTCGTGACAACCTAGTGGCCAAACAACTAGCTCGGAATACCGTGACCCAAGCACTGTCAAGATTTACAAGCCCTCAAGCGGGTCCTCCCCCAAGACCTGGAATGTCCCCCACGGGGGATGGTGGCACCTACTCTGCTGTCGGTCGGACAGGTTTAAAGACTCCTGGTGTAGCACGAGTTGACAGAGGAAATCCTCCTCCTATCCCTCCAAAAAAGCCAGGGCTCTCCCAAACTCCTTCTCCACCACACCCCCAACTCAAGGTTATTATGGATAGCAGGGCCTCGAATGCAGGAGCCAAAGTTGATAACAAAATTGTGGCTTCATCTCCCTCCAGTTTGCCCCAAGGGAACAGGGTAATAAATGAGGAGAACCTCCCTAAGTCATCCTCCCCTCAGCTGCCACCAAAACCATCCATAGATTTAACTGTGCCACCCGCAGGCTGTGCTGTCTCAGCTCTGGCCACGTCTCAGGTGGGTGCCTGGCCTGCTGAAACCCCCGGACAGAACCAACCTGCATGTTCCGACAGCTCCCTTGTCATTCCCACCACCACTGCCTCTTGCTCTTCCATAAACCCTGTTAGTGCTTCATCCTCAGACAGCCTCCTGGTAACAGCATCAGGTAAAGGGATTGAATATTCCAACCTCTTTTAAGAACATGGCCTGTCTTCTCCCTTGCCTTCATTTCCTTCATATTGCCTTAAAACTTTTTTTTTAATTTATTTTTTTTCTTCTTTCTTTTTTGTAATTTTCTTTGAAGGCTCCAGGGTATGGTGATTCATCTTGCTCTGTGAATTGCGGTTTCGTTATGCACAGTGCTTTCTTCTTTTAAAATAACCTGAAAATAGTGGTTTGAAGCACAAGAAGGCCATTAATTTAGAGAGACTAAAACATTTCCATGGGAGGAAAGCATATCCCTTCTTATTAAATATTTATCTCACAGGATCTCAGTATTAATGGATCATCAGACAGTTTGTGTTCAATTCTATCTCTTCTGGGATGACATTAAAAAATCCTTTTAAGTCGTTACTAACACTACTCGGATTATCAAATTGATTAGGTTTGTTCTGTAATTGGTACATTCTGAGTTTTAATATCAGTTTGGTATTAAGTTGGTTTTTTTTTTTTTTTTTTTTCTTGTCCTCAAAAATGGAGTGTGAATGTTTTTAAAATTTCTGTTCTAAGTTTAGGTTATTTCAGAAGCCATTTACCCTGTTTGAAGCTATCATCTTCCAACACTAGAGCACAGATGGATAACAGCACGTGGGCATGTTAGAGAAGGTTTCCATTACAGCTGGGGTTTGTGAAGTCACTGACTCTGGGAATGATGAACAAAGAAGAACTAGATTATTTCCCTTATGTTGTAGGTTGCTAGCTGAAGCATTGCTTTGTATCCGCATGACCAGATTAGTTTTGTTTATTTTTGATTTTGTTTTTGCAGTGCTGGGGATGGAACCAGGGTCTTTCACATGCTAAGCAAGAGCTCTACCACTTCCTTAAGCTCCAGCCTGCATTAGTTCTTTGTTGGGCAAATGTGTGTGGTTCTACAACAATTTTACCATGTCCAAGTTTTGTTGACATTTCAGAGAAGTCTTCTACCAGTCATCTTAGTAGTTGCCACTTTTCCTTTAAAAATTAAAGGAGAGTTTGAAAAGTATCTCATTTAAAACTTAAGAGTGGAAATTTGAAAAACAGGCACACTATACTTGTTGATTATCAGGTAATGAGGTCAATCAATACACCAGAACTTATTTATCGAGTTATAAATAGTCTCCTTGAAATTAAATTCTTTGACAGGCTACATCCATATTTCAAGGAGTACAATTGAAAATTGGAAACAGCATTTTAAGTTACTCAGATCTGTGTTGGCTCTGCCATTTAAACTGCATTTGGGGTGATTTTTTTCCACACTGAGCACATTTTCTCTTCCTTAATGTGAAACTTATACTACTCATGAGGAGAGTGGTTGTTAGGAAAATCAGAAATGTCACAGAGCATGACATTGAGCCTGGAAAAGCACAAGTGGTCAGTGAACAGAGGTGATCTTACTGCCATGGTGGTGGTGGTATTTCCAGCATTTGAGGGAATTTGTTTGAGAATAGACGTTAGTATTGTTTTGTGATGTCTTTTATAAGCATTCAACCTTCCATATTTTTCATCCAAAATAATATTGTTCCTCATGGACTGGAATAATGTTGGCTACTTGTCACAAATTCAATCTAATCTCAGAACAAGGATTTTTCTACCATTCAGAAGAATTTCTACCTAAGATCTTTAGGTTGTTGTAAAATTCAAGTTCCAGAAACATTTGGAGCAGTGGCAGATCTTTATCATAACTGCACAGATTGTGAACACATTCCAGATGCATAAATTTCGCCAGTGTTTTGTTTTGTTTTGTTCTGGTACTGGGAATTTAACCCAAGGACATTGTCACTGAGTTGCATCCCCATTACTTTGTTTTTTCATTTTGAGACAGTCTTGAGAAGTTGTTTAGGGCCTCACTAAGTGGCTAAGGTTGGCCTTGAACTTGTGATCCTCCTGTCTATTCTTTGATACTGTGAGGCTCTGCCAATTGTTGCCTGTGCTCTTGGGCCTAACACTGAGGCCCTTTGTTTCCAGCAGAGAAGCTTTAAAACCAACATTTATGACTGAGGAGCATTTTGTCAGAAGGATTTTAAGTTTTCAAAGATGGAGAACTCTTATTAATTTGTTGTATATTTGTGGAATTTGGGATAGAGTAACCAGAACCACTCTGAAAAATGTTCTTTGCTTGTGTTCAGAAAGCCAAAGAGAATATAAATAGTGGTTCCAATGAAATACCATTGAGGATATGTGAAACAGGTTCCTTGTTTTCTGTTTTCTTTGCAATATGGCCAAGTATTCTCAGAACTTTGCAGGATTACCTTTGGTGGAATAACAGGTTTCTGCACTATTCAGTCACCAGATGTGGCTTCTCAGGGGAGAGGAAAGGCATTGGAGGTCTTCAGTCTTTCAGCCAAGTCTACACTGAGCACCTCCTGTTTGGGGGTTGAAAGCAACGTTATTGCACTTAGATAATGGGGATGTTTAACTGTGTACACTGTGGATGTAGGTCAGCCTGAACTTTCCAAATGATATATAGGATTTCAACTCTGCATTCCATTTAGATTCCCCCACAGCCATCCCTGTGGTGCTGGGGATCAAACCCAGGACCTTATGCATGCAAGGCGAGTTCTCTGTCACTGAGCTACACCCCTAGACCAGTTGCCCTATTTCTTGCCACCACAACCATTGCAACTTAGAAGCACCCAAACTCTCTGCATCCTGCTTCTTAACCTGGCTGTGCCTGGGCGAGCTTGTGCCTCTCCAGGCCATAAGCCCGTTGGAGGGTATTAACCTTCTAAACATCCACTAATGCCATTGTACTTGTGAGGAGCAGGGAATAGAGACAGAGCACAACTGCCAAATACCTGGCAGGTGTCTGTTCCCATTTCCATGATCAAACATGTACTTAATTGAGTATAAGAAGGCAGAATTAGTCCATTTCTACCCCTTTCTGGGTATCACTGGGCAGAGCAAATTCTCTCTGAAATATTAGCTTTGTCATCTAAAATTGAAAGCCACTAAGTCAAAAAATTATAGTACCAAAGGATGTCTTAAGCTTGCCTGATGAATTTTAAAACAACAGTTCACTGCCTCTCCCTCCTTGGAGAAATGCTAGATCCTATGATCTTTCAAACTCTCAAATCCTGGGTGTCCTGTCAGCTTCTGCCTGTGACAGTTAAAACTAAGTTAAAGCCCAGAGGAGGACTGACTGGAATGACACAAATTACCATTTTAATGGATTGCATTGTAAAATACCCAAATTCTGTTGGCAACTTTTATGGCCAAATGTTAAATTTTAAAATAGCATTTTAAATTCTAAATGAATTAGAATGTCTTGTTCCTTCTGAACTTGTCAAATGAACACATTTGAGTTAGATGAACAGAAGCCTAAACTGTAAGGCACTCTGGGCAGCTGAGTTTCCATACCCTTGGAATTTTCTTTTCTGTTTTCTTTTTGTTATTACTGTTTATTTGGCACATTTTGTTGAATTTGGTTTAGATTTTTTTTCTTTAGTTAAACATGTATTTTAAAAATTATTCTCATGTACGATTGGCTTGAAGGCTAAACCAGAATATAAGAAATGTCTAGGCTGTGACATTAACCTTCTCCACCCTCTGAAGCTGATGCCGGAAGCTGTTCTCAACATCTCTTTCCTCTGCCATTGCATGTTCTCTGTTCCCTCCATGATGTGTTGTGCCCAGTGCTTACCCTCACTAACATTTGGGACACTGTAAAGCTGAATGCCTCTTTCTAACATCATTAGAGTAGCTGTGTGAATATAGGTCTGTCACTACTAAACCAGTTAACCAAGTATTACCATTTTTATTCTTGTTTGGAATTTTAGGCAATGTAGTCTTGTGGTGGTTTTAATTTATTTTTCCCATATTTATAGCAGGATTTATAAAAATAAGTCTGTGCTAGAGAAAATTGGAGAGGATAGTGAGCATCTAACATTTAAAGTTTAAGAATACATGATATTTATAAGGCATTTTTTGTACAGATTTTTAAAATATCTTGCAGCTCTCTAAGAAAACCAGGATACTGATTTGTCTTCCATAGTTTCATAGGATAGAATAATAACTTGAAGACTCTTGAGTGGTCTAAAGAATGAGAAAATTTCTCAATAACATATTTTTTTCTTTCAGTTAACATTAAAATAGGATTTCCCAGCAAAGTATGTCCATAATTGATTATTTCTATGTATATATAAGATAGTTGAAAAATATATTGTCTCCTCCCAAAGCCTAGAATTGTGGTGAAAAAAAAAAAAGAAAAATGAAAGCAAAAATAATAGCAAACTGTTCAATATACGCATGTTGGTGTTCATAAAAGGATAGCAATAACCATGACCCCATGCGTGAGATCTAGAGTGACAATATGTGTGCGTATGAATGTATGTGAATCTGTGAGTCATTGTGAGAGTGTGTGAGAGTGTGTGTGTTGGGGAAGCAGATTGATGCTGAAAGTGTGAGCCATGTTCCCTCCTTTCTGCAGAAGACAGTGGTGCGATGCCTTGCTGTTGCCTGTATTTGCTTTACAAGGTTTCATTCCTTGGTGTTTATAATTTCTCTGTTTTTCATCCATTTCTAATAAGTACTGATTTAATTTTTGTGGGCCTGTTTTTTTTTTGTTTGTTTGTTTTAAAGAAAATACAAAAGGTAAAATGTACCAGAGAAGAGCCTTCTTGTAAGTATGAAGTAAACATACTACTTTTGTAAGAAGACCTAATGAATGTCAATAGGAAAATAGCATTAAGTTTATATAAATACTTAATTGTATGAGCATTTTAATTTTGTCTGACACTACAGTAATAATAGGGTAAAATAATAAAGTTTTTATGGGCCCAAATAATTGATTATAAAGATACAATATCCAGCTTTTAATAAGTAGTGTAATATTGGTACGAATGTCTTTGTTTTATTTTAAAAGGCTTTTTATAAAAAACTGAGAAATTTCTTTGATATGTATTTTCTTAATATTTATTAAAATAATCAAAAGCCCATAATTTAGGTTTTAATCATAATAATTGAATATTACACACAAATTAATGTAAAGCATATACCTAGAATGTTATCCTAGTATTAATGCACAAGGGTAGAAAATATTCATCTATGTGTGTTTCTAAGTGGAATATAATCCTGCATATGTGGAAAATCCACCTCGAGCAATGTATATGTGCCCATGTCCACAACATTACTTAGAGAGGTACTGGAGTTCTACAAAGAGAAAACCAGAATGACTTATTTTGAAAATTCATTGTATTTAAGCCTAAAAGACACAAATATATAGATACCGCATTAAATAAACATTTTTACTGTTTTTACAGCCTTTTGATCAAGGAACAATTCAGAAACTTTTCCATACTATATGTAGCCGACTTCATACACTTAACAGATTCTCTTCTAAAGCTGCTAAATACTGATTAGAAATATCTAACCATGATAACTCATGACTTTTGTTTAAACTATATGATAGAGTGTCCTGTTTTGTTGGCTGGTTAAAAGTTTGTTAAACCTGTTGTAAAGATGGCCAGATGATACAGTCTTCAGGACTGTTATTGAATATTTGTGCTGGTGTATTCTAGATCTACTCATACCTATATATTTCTGTTAGCTCTTAATAGTGAATAACAGTTAGCATCTGTTACTTTAATTCCCAACTAAGTGTATTCAAGGACTAAAACCAGACTCTTTGACAGTGTTAGGCCCATATTATTGGTTTGAATAAAATTTATAAGAGTACATATAAATTGGAAACATGGTTAAAAAAGGAAAATCTGTTTCTTGCCATCATTTCTACCTTAAGCCTAAAAGTATCCGTTTTAGTTTTTCAGACTGATGTTGAAATTGAGGAATTCTTTACATCATTTTAAAATTAAAATTCTTCTGCAATGCAAAAGAGGAATTTAAACTTTTAAAATGTAACAGCCATCTTAGTTTTCTAAAACCAGTCATGACTTTAACACTTAACTGTGTAAGACTGATGACTAAAAATAATTCATCACCACATATGTTAATTTAATTAGCAGCACATATAAGAGCTGAAATAACAGTACAGATTAGATTCATGCTAAGAAAATATTAACAGATTGATAATGTTAGGAACCACATAATCCTCTAGGAATACACGTTGCTATGTTTGTGTGTGTGATTCAGAAAGGAATGATAGTATCTGTATCCTGTCCTTGCTCCTACTCTCTAACGACGGTCACTTTAACCTGCAGGCTGGTCACCCTCCCTAACCCCTTTGCTAATGAGTGGTGGTCCTGCCCCCCTGGCTGGCAGGCCCACCCTTCTTCAGCAAGCTGCTGCCCAGGGAAATGTCACTTTATTATCAATGCTGCTTAATGAAGAAGGACTGGACATTAATTACTCCTGTGAAGATGGCCATTCTGCCTTGTATTCTGCTGCTAAGAATGGACATGCAGGTAAAAATGATGAGAGATTTTCATACCACAACTCACGCTTGCAAAAGGATGGAATGCCAATATCACTGGGAACCACTGTTATGAGACAAATGCTCATTTTGGCTTCAATGTTCTCTTACAGGTAGTAATAGATTTTTTTTTTACATGAGCTTTAATGTTTTATAAACATTAAAGAATAGAAATTGTAAGTTCCTTAATGTAAAGTTTTAACTGCAGCAGCTAATTAAAAGTAATCTTTGTTTTATATACACTGAAATGCACATGTAGAAACTTGAGGTCTATTCATTTAAAAGCACATTTTAGAATAAAGTCATCCATCTGCAGTCACTTTGGTCAGAAATAAATGGCCCTAATTTGTCTGTTAGAAATACCTGATGTGAAAGAAAGTCAGAGCATCAGGGCTTTAGGGAATGCCACAGTGATGGAAAATTCTAGTAGTTAAGAAGAGTGATGGGTCTGAAATTGTTTAGTAGTAACAGTAGTTTATAGTTATTTGGAATTTTTTTCAGAGAACTGAGAAGTTATATAATTACAAATGACATATCCATAAAGACTGGGAATTATTCATGTTCTTTAAAATGCAAATCCTGTAGTTAAATATACTAAAACATATGGTAGTGCTGAAAAAGAAATAATTTGACTGCAAGTGCAAAAGTTAAAAGCGTTGCATATGTGAGCCATATGATTGTCGATTAATTCAGATAAATGGAAGATTCTGGTGAGCTAATAGTTCAGTAGTTTCAAAGTATTTTGAAATTATTCTTTGCTTCAAATGCACTGTAGGAATTGTCTTTAATCTAAAGAAATTAAATCTATATCATAACATAAGGAACATACAGGTCTTCTAGGAGATACTCATTTCTAAGTTAGATAAAGTTCTCTTGGACTTTTATCCTCATTCATGTAGGTAAGTTGTAGGATGGCTACCATACAGAAACATTTTGATTAAATGAACATCATAAAGTAAAAATTTTTGGCTATTTAAATGCAAAGTATGATATTTCAATTTGGTAAATACATTTGGTTCTCTCTTCAAAAACATTATTTCTGGGATACGATGGTGGAAAAATCTGGTAAAGCTTTTTCTGGCACATGATATTCCTTTTACTCATCAGCAGCTCTTCATAAAGCAATGAAAGATCATGTCTTCATTGGTGAGTTTTGGGGCATCATCATTTTTGGGAAAGGAGGTCTGTGGAGTCTCATATCTGTCAGGATAGAATTGTCAGATGAACTGTGTGAGAGAGGTCTTTTGAGTTTAGAATCTGTTTGCAGCTTGCATTGAATCTGTCTCATCATGACTCTAAATGGGGAATTTAAATGACTTCCTATTAAAATCCATAGACTGTGTGAGATTGCTGCTGAATGCAGAAGCCCAAGTCGATGCTGCTGATAAAAATGGCTTCACACCCTTGTGTGCTGCAGCTGCTCAGGGACATTTTGAGTAAGTGATGCTCTTCATTCTTTTTTTTTTTTTTTCTTTTCTATGAAAATCACTTCTCTTTGTATTTTGCTCACCTATTTTAGGTCCAGCTAAATGTGTAAACTAGTGCTTGAAATCCATTGGCAAATAGATTCACTAAACATATTTGAATACAAAGTTGGATCCTACATTTTTTCTTCTTGATAATAGTTAAGTAGTTGCAAATGAGGGAAGTGACAAAGAAAATTATGCTGTGTCCAGGTTGTGTGTTGAAGAGCATCCATAGCACATTAACCTGCAGTGAGATAAGGGGCTATGGAGAAGGTATTAGTTCACCATTACCTGACAGTCTAGAAAAAAAGAAAAGTAAAAACAACCAGACAAAACACAATTTTTGTACTTATGATGGCATTAAAAAAAGAAGAAAAAACATAGAATTATATTATTTGTAATAATTGTTACTACTGACAATTTATTTGGTATTAAATACCAAGTGTTCATCTTGTTTTGCTGTGTTAAGGAAAAAAAAAATTGAAGCAGAAATCTCATGTAGCAAAAATAGTTCAAGTATAAACTGAAAGCCTATTAATTAAAAATGCACATATCTTGAGCAGTGATTTCCTCAGGAGCTTACTAAGTCAGATAGGTACAAAATATGAATAGGTACTTCTTAAAAGGTCATATTTTAATAATTGAATAAGCTAAGTTGCTTTCTCTTCCTGAGCTGAAATGGCAGATTGTAGAAAATGCAAGCTACTTTTACTATTTTAATCCAAGTTTCCTGATAGAAATGTTCTTTAACAAGTTATAGAATTCTTAAAATACGAGTTTTAAGGTTCACATAAATATTATTAAGCATAAATTTAAATATCATAATATTCAAAATGTATCAGTTTGAGGTATGGTGTTGTATTTTTTCTGCATATCTAACATGTCTCATCACCCTGAGTTTATTATTAACAATCATAAACATTGATTTTGTTGTAACTGTTTGAATGTACCCCCATCCTGCAAAAGGAATGTCTCCTGAGCTATGCTTCTCCCTTGTCACCAGGCAATCTGTGGGGCCACTTGCTTGCAGGGCATAATAGTCACAGAACGGGAGGTTCCCTTTGTAAAGGGGAAGAACACTATAGAAATCCAGGAATCAGTTAATAAATGTGTATGATACACACATATATCAATAACAGTGACTTGTTTTGAAAATATATATAAACAAACCAGATGATGCAAAGGAAAACCAAAACAACAAACCATGCATCTGTGTTAACAAAATATGAAGTGAATTACTTTTTCATTGGATTATGATTTAGAAGTGTCACCAAGTCTTGACTTTACTTCTTGGTTTCCTTCTTGATTCTCAGGACAGTGAGTATCTGCTTGGAGGCAGGATAACTTCTCTGCTGTCATTTCTGTCTAAGGCAGCCCTTTTCTCAGCCTCCCTGTTACTTTTTATAGAGGAGGCACATGGTGCCCTACTGTCTATGCGACTTGCAAATATTTTCTCAAGTGAAAATTTTCAGAATGACTCAGCCTAACTTTTTGCAAGGTTAAAACTATTTTGCACCACAAATTGTATTTTTATTATATAAATACGTATATGTTATTTATGTATTTGTATATGTACACACAGAGTATATTTAAACCATTCATTCCAACAAGCTAAACCTGTTCCAAGGATTCCACTTTCAGAAGTTGATTGAAGAGAAGTGACACAAATCATATTTTAGGACTTGATCAAATGTACTATTTTGAATTTTTGTTCAAGTAATTCAGTTGTGACTAAAGGTATTAGTTCACCATTTTCTGACACTCTAGAAAAAAAAGAAAATAAAAACAAATAAAATAGATTTTCTAGATTTGTGAGGAAAATATCTATAAGACCCACAATAACCAATACATAGAAATAATAGATGTGTATGAAGATGCAGAATTGCTTTCGAATCATTGTGTGTGTCTATTTAGTATCTTGGTAGGTGATGCTTTAGGGGTGAAACTCAATTTTTATGTAATTAATCCTTACTTTGTGTTTAGGTGTGTAGAATTATTAATTGCATATAATGCTCACATTAATCATGCTGCTGCTGGAGGACAGACACCTCTATACCTGGCCTGTAAAAATGGAAATAAAGAATGTGTTAAACTCTTGTTGGAAGCTGGCACTGACCGAAGTGTAAAAACCCAAGTAAGTATCAGTTTTCTTCCCCTCATGTATGTACTGTTTCTTCAAACTCTACATCTAGAAAAGCAAATACAGGTGACTATCTGTATCTTGGGATTTCATATCTATGGATTCAACTAAACATGGATCAAAAATGTTTTTGAAAAATCACAAATGTACAGAACATTTTTAATTAGCAGAGAAGAGAATCAAATAGAAGTCAGACACTTTCCAAATACAAAGCCTTGTCCATTAGCCTAACCAGTCCTTCAACCCCTGAGCCTCAGATGATTTATCTTTAAAACAGGAAAACAAATATTTGTGTCTTCCTTTCAGAATCAGACGAGACAATGGAGGTGTAAGTTTCTATTCATTCAACAAATAATAATCTTAGATTTGGGTTTTCTTATGTAATTTCGCCAACAAGAACCAAAAATTAATGATATCAGCAGAGATATAATAATAGAGATATAAACATTTTCCACTGAACCTCATTGCTAAAGCTTTTTAAAAGTTGTTTTTAAATCCTCTACTTTGTATTTATATTATTAATCTAAGAAATAGTTATTTTTCCAATTCCTTATTATTTTATGTGTTTTACCTAAGAAGTCTATGGTGATTACACAATATATTCATTATTAAAATTCTAACTTATAGATGAAAAGTAAATGAATTTTATATAAGCAGATTGAATGAAAAATAAATAGTGTAACATAAAAATTGAAGTGATGTTCTGTACAAGAGGACAAAGAAGCAAAGCTCTAAAGGTAGTTATTGAGGAGCTGGACAAAAATCTTTAGAGCTAAGGCATTGAACAGTATAATTGTCAGGAGATCTTCAGGGAATAATCGTGTCTTTTGCTTTTTAATAAGAAAGTAACAGAGGAGAATGGAAGACTGAAAAGTGTTTTTCAGAAAAGGCTATGTTGTCTTTGTAATGTAAATCAGGGAAGGTCAAGAACACTTATACTCTAGGACCTAAGTCAAACTGCTACCAAGGTGTTGGTGCCCACAATCCTGTGAAGAAGGAGCCATGAAATTGCTTTACCTGGCTCGTGACTAAGGGTTCAGTATTCTAGATACTGCTCAGCTGTGGTCTTGTCTTAGCCAAGTGGGCTTTATTGGTATGAGATCCAGAAAAAGAGGAAAGGCCCATCATCCAGGGTCAGCTTCAATAAGTGACCGTTTGACAGCCTAAATTGAGATAGCTTCCATTTATTGTCTGTTTTTCTATCTTCTACCCTATTTTTTAAAGTTGTAGCTCCCTGAAATACCTTTAATACAGTAATATGAAATATTACATGACAAAATCAGGTCAAGGAGAATATAAAGGTAGTAAAATAATCCAAAATAAAAATCGTTTTTTTTTTTTTTAATTAAGAAGTTTAAAAAACAATGGGTGCTTTGTAGTTGGCAGACCAATTTCTATATAGAAATGAGATACTCTAGATGGATTCAAGATTTTTCCCTAGATAGTGCATGTCCAACTTCAGTACATCCTAATAACCTTAGAACAAGTTGGTGGCCCAACTTTCCCCAGAATTTCTGATCCTAGGGTAAAGACTAAGGATCCATATTTTTAGAAAGTTCTCAGGGGATATTGATGTTACTGGTCTGGGGATTCCACCTGAGAAAGTGTTCTAGGAAAGAGTACCATGACTGCTCTACCAACCAGCTGAATGAGCTTATAGGGGCTCCATAGACACAAGTTCTCAGAAATGGACCCAGTAATTTTTGGAACATTTCTTAAGTTCATATGCATAAGTATCCTTCTGCAATCATGGAACACTCAGAAGAGGCCCATCCACATCCGATGAAATTATTCAACTTTGTTTTTCCTGTATGTCTAGGTTTTCCCCTATTATTTAGAATATTTGCTTCTTGAATGGTTTGCATAAACTTTTAAGATTAGAGTTGAGCCACTGCCCTTTAAGTAAAACTGGTTTATAACAGCATTCTTTTAGTATATTACTAATAATATTATTCTTGAATATATTTTTAAAATTCTCTTTAAAGTTTGTTTTCTTTTAAAATAGTAAATTGAGATTTCTGGGTTATCATATATTATATTCAGTTATAGACCTGGGCACTGCCTGCTCACTCCAGATGGTTAACTATTAGGTGGAAACAGTTAGAAAACAGCAAACATGAGTCATAGCAGTGGGAATTACAGCAGCTGGCACAAGCAAAGAACATAGCTCATCGGTGGTAGGATTGGAATGCCTGTTTTCCCCAGCTCAGTGGTCCATGCCCAAGAACATTTAGAGATAGACTTTAAATAACACTGTTCTCAACATTAATGTTGTTATGACCCCTTCCCCCTCCCTGGTCATTTATTTTCAGGATGGTTGGACACCAGTTCATGCAGCTGTGGATGCTGGTAATGTGGATAGCCTCAAGCTTCTCATGTACCATAGAGCACCAGCTCCTGGAGACTGTTTGAGTGAGGAGGTGCCTGAGCCAGGCTTCTTTGCCTTGGATGGGGGAGAAGACTGTCTTGAAGGCACGTCGAAGCCTACTGTTCCTGCAGACCTCATTAACCACGCTGACAGAGAAGGCTGGACTGCTGCCCATATTGCTGCTTCAAAAGGTTTTAAGGTGTGTCCTGAAGCAGCTGGCCTCATTGCATTTGTAATTTGATAAGTGGCAATATTGTCTGCTATGGATTGAGTGTATTTAAGTCAAATAATTGAAGACCCAAATGATACCACCGCAGTTGATGGTGAGCTACTGGTACAAATTGACAATTTTTGCCTACCCAGCCGATATATATCACCAAGGGTATAAGACTTTTTATAAAATTTAAATGTACAAGAGACTTTCATGAAATTTTAAAAATTATTGTATTCAAAAGCTATTAATAAGAATGTGAGAGTAATTTTGAACATTTTATGTCATCTACAATAGGAGACAAAGATTGATATTATCTTAGTCCATTGGGTTGTTTGTTTCCAAGGCTGTGCAACTAGTTAGAAGTGGGGTCAGGGTTCTCACCTGTACTGCAGGGTTTTTGATCTTATCCAGTTTCCTCAGTTGTCAAATTTTTGCACTACCTGTGCTGTCTGACTGATATCTAAGAGAGAGCTCTAGATTTCACTCAGAGTATAAAAAGTACTGATTATTTTTTTAAAAAGTATGCTTTTTCTATTTAAATCATGCTTTTTCTAAATCACTTTAGCAATAATAATAAGCCATTAGAAAGCTCCTGAATGCTTGTCAGTGTGCATAATAATGTTTGCTGTGCTTATTTCTGCTCCTAGTCTAGTGGCAAGTGTGCAGGTTATAAGACAAGTATATAATAAAAGAAACACAAAATTAACACAAGGATAATAGGCATGCTATTGAAATAGTATAAAAATTCAACAATTGTGAAAAATAGAAGATCATACATACTTCAAAGAATAGTTGTAGCAATGTTAGACTTAGGGATGGCTCATTCTGGAGGAGATGGAAATTATTGGGGGATTTGCTGAATGGGTTAAATGTACCACTCACCATTGAGAAAGCAGAGTAGTTCAGGTGGAGGGAGAAGTAAAAATGGAGACATGGAGATAAGGAGGTAGAAAAAAGCTTCAAGTGAGTTAAGGAAGAGTAGCGAGAAATAAAATCAGACTGGGAGTTTCATTGTAGGCATGAGGCCTTCAATGATGTTAAGGAGTTTGTTCTCAATTTACCAGTGCAAGTAAAGTCAATGAAAAGTTTTAGAAAAAGGGGAAAGATAACCTGCTTCACAGTTTAAATTCATGAATTTAGCAATAACATTTAGAAGTTGGAATTCTGGACAAATTGGAAGCAGAGAGAGAGACTAAATGGTGGAAGATGATGTGAACCAGGAAAATATTGAGAGACATTGTAGACAAGAAGTGTCCAGAGATGGAACACAGAACAGACATAGGAATGGAAGGAAGCTGGATGGAAAGACAGTGACGTTACAGGAAAAAGCAAAGAAAAGCCAGCACCCTAATCAGAAAAATAGAATGTAGCTTTAGATATGCTGAATCTAAGTGTTTTGTTCATTCCAGATAGAAGTACCTAGAGATGTGTATTTGGAGCTCCTGGCTGGGTAATCTCCTGTTAGGATCTCCTGCAAAGGCCGTTCATTTTGATTTTGGTTTTTAAGAAGTGAGAAAAAGGCAAGATTTGGTTCACTACTTTTTGGCAGTAGTCTCCCCAACACATACTGTATCCTTTAACAAAAGGAGAAGAATTCTGAGAATTTGATATACATACATAGATTTAAATGGAATGCAGCAGCATCTGACATAAAATTTTTAGGAGGCAAAAATGGGAAACATGAATAGTTTAAATTTGAAAATGCACAGTTAATCTAAGACTGTGACTCTCATTTGGTGGTGAAGAAGTACATAGAAAGAGTACATTGAAACCTACTGACATCCCTAAAAGAAAACCTCTATACTGCAAGATGTTACTGAAAGGAGTAGGTTGTGCATGCATCCAACCTGCAGGTAAAAATAGAAGAAAACTCGAGCATCTCTGACTTGGAATATTGGACTACTGAGCCCCTCTTGCTAGGCAGAGAATTTTTCCCAAGGAGTTACCCTTTTTTGGTGGAGAGTATTGCTCAGTTCCTTCATTATGAGCTCTGGGATTTTGATGATCAAAGATGGTATCTACATTGATTCCCAAGACCCTGGCAAGCAGTGGATGCTCTGTTACTACTGTGTAAAGGACAATATGACCTCTTTCTCCCATAGAATATGACTCTTTTGTATTATTACTTTAAGAAGTGTTAGATGATTATTTTTTACAAGGAAAGAGATTTTTAAAGGCACATGATTGAAAATATTCCCATATTTCTAAGCTATTAAAATAATAGGTTTGGTTTTGGTAGCCCTGGAATGGACATTTAATCTTCCAGTCTAATCTGTTTATCTTATAATTAGGATATTTCAATCCTAGAGGGTTTAATAGATAGAGGTTGGGAATAAAGCCAGATTGCCTGGTTCCACTACTTTTTTCACTGTGCATTCTTCTTTCCCAGTCAAAAGTATTCAAAGATATTTTTCCATCATTTGTCTTAAAAGAATTTTTCTATTTTGATTGGGATAACTCTTTAGGACTATCTAGTCACAACTAAGTTACTAAGGCTAGTTTTCTGAAAAATAGAAATTACAGTTACGAATTAATGTGTTGGTAGAGAGAGTCTGTTCTTACCACAGAGCATAAAAAAGCAGGAATTTTTTTCTCTCTCTACAGCAATCTATGCATGTCCAGCCTTCATAGGTAGTAGCAGCATCATTATCCAAGAAGCAACTTTCTTTCCATATGAATTTCAGAGCTCAAAGCACCATAACTGATCCAGTCCAACCCCCTCATGTTGTAAATGAGGAAACTAAGTCTTGGGAAATGGTGAAACATTTCCCAAGGTCAGTTCATAGACAGTCCCCCATAAGTGTTTGTTCCATTTTAGTAGTTGGTCTCTTTTCTAATGGTTAAGAAATTAATACAAATCACCATGCAGTCTTTAGCAGTACAAGCACCTCTCTCAAGCTGGCCTATGTCTACTTCAGAGAGAAAGCTGAACCAAGGATAAATCTTTCTTTGTTTCAATCACTTTGTGTGAATAGAAAAAGGAACTCTTCATGAAGCTCTCTGCTCTGCCATGAGATCTTCAGCAAGTCCAGTTCCTGTACCAGAAACAAATTCAGGAGATTATCTGAATTTGAGCATCACTGAATAAAACTCAAATGCCCAGGTTTTTTTTTTTTTTTTAAATTTAGGGGATGGCATGAGTTTTTGATTATGGGAATAGGTTATATTTCTAGCTTATCAATTGCCAAAACCTGTGGTTTCTTATTACTCATTTTTCTGTTCCGTCTCTCTGAATATATTTAATATGTTGACTATTTAATGCAAATTCTTTTCTCCCTGGGCTTCCAGAACATTGCCCTTTCCCTACTTCTCCCTTGACATCACTCCTAAGCTCCATTCTCAGCTACCTCCTCCTATTCTTTAAAGAGTTTATTCAGATTTTCAGCTTTAACTGTAGCAGTGATAGCTACTCCCAAATGCATACCTGACATCTGACTTTTACCTGTCTTCTAGACACTTATTTTCAGCATCCTAGAGGTCATTTCTGGGCAGGCCCACTGTCCTCTGGTAGCCCTTTTGTTGCCATCCTAAAATCATTGCTACATTGTATTAGGATTGCATTCTGACATGCATTATTAGCTTTTAGCTCTATAGGAATCTGACACTCTCTCACCCCATTGCAGCCACACTAGTTCTCCTGGTGACCTGGATAGGTAAGTATGTGCCAGGATTTACATGGAGCCCCCACATTTGGATTCTTTATTTCTATGTCTTTGCTTCAAAGAGAACAATAGGACTTACTACAGTTTTTCCTTGTCACACAAAATTGTATAACTTGTTTAAATAAAAGAAAGATAAGGTATCTTCAAAGTACCAAGTCACAGGATCTAGATGTTAATCAGGATAAATAGAAAACTTTCTTATTCTAAATAACTATTTCCTGTTTTTAGTCAAATTATTTTTGAAAATGTTAGGCTGTATGTAAACAAAGGGAAGGGTTTTTAAAAAACAAAACACTTATTCCAGAATATTCAGTGAAGAGTAATTGCATTGTTGCTTCCTTTAGGCAGCAGTGATTGACCAGAGGAACCCTAGAGAGGACGTAAACTACCTACCGAGAGTCATTCTCCCTTCCTTGCTAAGACATGGACTTTCTGGTGTCTTCTATTTACAACTTTAATGGATCTAGTTTAGACCATTTTTTCTCCTCTCATTCTGTACTTCCTCCCTGTTGATCCTCAGAATATAATCTCAAGGAATTCAAGAATCTTCTCTCTAGCCCTACTAAGCATTTCCTGAGTCTATCCAGGAAGCTCCTTTCCAGGAAGCTCACAGTTTACAGGGCATCTCCTAGATAACTAGGGAATGAACTTGCCAGTGTACCCACTACAGTCCTGTTTATGCCTCGGTAGAACTGCTTAGTGCCCACTTTTACTCTTTAAGATGTCCCATTTAGAACATTATATGATAAACTATTGATGACCATTTTCACTTTCGCTCTCACCAGTCAGTTCCATGTGGTTGTGTCCTCAGACCCCAATGCATAGGCCCCTTAGCCAGTCAGTTGGCTATGTCTTATATTTCCTCTCTTCATCCAGTAACATCACCTGGCGTTTGTTTTTACGCATGCCATCTTCCTAACTTAATGAACTTGAATGATTGATACAACTCTAGATTTTACTTTTATAAATGAACTTTGAATATATGGCCTCCTCCATTGACTCACAGACCCTGCCCTGCAGAGCCTTCATCATCTGCTGTCTCGATGCATTCAGGCTCCTACCGTGGTATCCCAGTCTCCAGGTTTCACTCCTTCACAATGACACACGAGGGACCTTTCCAGCAGGTGAACATGGTGATGTAACATAACCACTCCATGCCTTTCCACAGGGTAAGGGCCAGCCCCTTCCTGCTGGCCTCAGTCACCTCCACAGGTGCATTTATGTCACCTTCCACAGTGCATTCTGTGCTCTAACCATGTATGACCAGTAGCCATGGTTACATCCTGTGCTCCTCTCCTTAGCTTTGCATCTGCTGTTCCCATT